GAATGCTGTAAAATCACAGCAGGAATCATCTCCCCAAGAGCCTGCCAGATCCCTGGATCCCAAGGCAAAATCCCAAGAACAAACATTTTTTTTCTCCCAAAAGCCACATCAGTCAGACGCAGCCAGAGCCGCTGGTTCCGCACCTTTCAGGAGCCTTTTGGTGACACAATAGATGCCCAAGGGGACATTCGGGGAGGGGGCTCCTCTCACCTGACTCTAGTGCATTGAGTGGGTCGGGTCCCCGCTGCTCCCTCCAGTTATTTCGGGAGAGGCAGAAAACCCTTTGGCTCTCTGGAGGTGAGCAAGGTCTGGGCAAAGCCTCTCGATGTCTCCAGCGTTCCCCGCCGGAGCAAAGCCCAGCCTCCCTAGAAGGAGCCACACTGCACCTCAGGCTGATGACCTCTACCAAGGTCAATCAATTTTTAGGGCCAGATAGCTCTAAGCTGGCTTCCCAGAGGACAGCTGGGACTCAGCTGTGCCACTAAGGCATCCCCAGCAATCTTGTGCAGGAACTGTGGGGCTTCAGCTGGATCTGGGGCATCTACAAGAAACTTTGCTCTCTAATGGGGACGAGAAGATCTGCACAAGCTAATTCTGCACTGTTTGCATGGCCCCAGCTGTGGAAAGCTTAAAAAGCTTATTAAACCATTAGATCACAGAAATCCTTAAGAGAAATAACACCTTAAATCCAAACACAGTCCGTCCCAGGGGGCCAGAGACACACCACAAACACCCATCCAGCTAACAACACACACACGCTCGGCTCGCACGCTTGAACCTCAGCTCCCTTGTCACACAAGTGATCATGAGCCATCAGGCAAGGACACATGGGCAAGTGTTCCCCAAAATGGTCCTTTTTGCCTGTTTTCAGAACAATCGAGCAAATCTCAGATCCAAAGTATTTCAGCAGCATCCCTCCCCATCGCAGCATCACCAATCCTCTCTCCAAGAGCAAAGATCTGAGCAACCTCAGACAGGGAGAAGTTCAGGCTAATCCACATGCCAGGGGCTCCTCCCCACCACACCACCACATCCAAGCACCGGTGGTCTCACAGTCGTGCCCGTGTCACCCGCGGGGAGTGGCGGGCGGGGGGCACTCAGCTCTTACCTGGGGGCTGTGCCGGAGGGAGGTGATGCCTGCTCTGCGGAGAGCCGCGCTCTGCCGGGGCCGCGGGCGGGGGGACTATGAACTCTCAGCCTGCCTGCCAGTGGTC